TGATGGGTGAAAAAAATCATCTCCTGTGAATCGAATAAATTATTAATTCAGTTCGGTTCGAAAAACGAAAAAAAACGCAATAAATTGATAAGAAAGATTTGAGCCCAGAAATATTATAGTACAAAATATAGCAAAATATAAAAACAAGGATATATAGCCTGTAATCAGGATTCAAACCAAAAGTTGATAATAATTAAGCTTGACAAAAAAGAGAAGAAAAAAAAAAAGGAAAAAGCTCACGCCCCTTCCGAGTGTGTCCCTGTATTTTTCTTTACCTTTTTCTTTTTACTTTTTCCTTTTTTTTGGTTTTACGGTGAAAGTGCAACAACCAGAAGAGATAAGGAGAGAGAGAGATAAGAGAGCAAGAGGCAGAGCTGGAATACTCATCAGTTGGGGATTACGGAATTGGTTTCATTAAAATGGATTTAAGCCAATGCCGATGCGCTGGGTTGCATTTGTGCATGGGATTATCGATTGTAATGCGCAGTCATCAAATTATGTTTGAACAGCACGACCGCCAAGCCAGGAGCAACAATAGCAACAGCAACAGCAGCAGCAACAACAGCAGCAACAGCAACAACAACAGCAGCAGCAGCAACAACAGCTACGTGCAACAACAACTACAACAACAATAGCTTTATCACCATTGAATACCCCCATTGCGCCTCCAATCAGAGAGAAAGAGAGATTGCGTCTTATGAAACAATTGAGGCACCGGCCGAGGCAGCCAAAGCAGCAGACAAAGACAAGGACAAAAACGAAGAGAAAGACGAAGAAGAAGAAGCAACAGCAGCAGCAACAGCAACAGCAACAAAAGGAGCAACAGCAACAATAGCAAACAGCATCAGCAACAGCAGCAACCCAAAATCGCATCAAATTTTTAAACGGCAATACGCAAAGTAAGTGAAGTGTAAATGAAAGGAGAGAAAAAACGGGAATGGGAATGGGACTGAGGGATGCGGGAATTGGCATGGGCATGGGATCGGCATTGTGTACGAATGCGAGTGTATGTATGTGTGTGTGTGTAAAACGGAGACAAAGTTAGAGGCAGAAGTACACCGCAAAAAAAATTTCACCTCTAAACTATCCAGAAATCTATGTTTTTTAGACGAATTCTGTAAAAAATCTGTAATTAGGAATATATCTACTTTTAGATCTCTCTTTCCATATCAAAGGAAATTTATAGATATGATTGGAATACTTTTAAATGGGATTCTGCTGCTTTTTCGCTACCACTAGGTCCACGATTTGTTCTTAGATACATATATTCTTATACTCATTAGATTCAGGGCTGGAAACTTCAGGAACATTTGGTATAGGTTTCCTTAAACACCAATTATAATAACTACAGAGCATTTATGGATCATAGGGGTTATCATATATACATTTCTACACATTTGTCATACTTTAAACATCGTATTATTGGAAATATTCCTTCCGCAATCATTTTTTCTCTCAGCGTAAGAGTATAGGAGTAAGTTCCAGAACGGAAGAGAGAGAGAGAGAAAGCAGGTTGAATGCAGGAGAGAGTTTGAGTACAGGTGTGAACGCGAATGCAGGAAGATGGGGATTACAGGACAGCAGCAGTCAATGCAGGGACAGAAGAGGGGGAGGGAGAGGGTGTACAGGGTAAGTTCCTTCTCGTGCGAGTGGAATTGAAGGAGCGAGAGCAGGTGAAGAGCCACTGAAGTGAAGTGGAAGGCATTTGTCGTCGCTATTTTTTGCAAAAGTCTCGGTGTAATTAATACGTACATGTATGTGTGTGTGTGTGTGTGTTTGTGACACGCGTGTTTTTCAGTGTGCGTGTGTGTGTGCGTGTGTGTGGGTAAACTAGGTCACTAGGAAGTTAGTCCCCTGTTAGGCCCCCCCATCAGCCACTCCATCCCTCCTTTCAACTCACCTTCAAAAGGTGTCAACTCGCAAAATCTCCAACCACACCCCAAAACCCAACCAGCAGCAGCACAACCGACCCCGGCCCCACCTCCCACCAGGCAGCATGATTAACGGTTCAGTGCGATTAACTGGCAAACAATTTTCGAGTGTTGGCAGGGGATGGGGGGGATGCTGATGCTTAAGCGTGTCTGTTCCTGTCTGCGCCTCTCTGTGTGTGCGTGCGTGCGTGTGTGTCGTGCTTGTGTGTGCCGTGCGCGAAATTATGTTGCCTACTTTCGAGGGCATTCATTCAATAACCGCCGACAATCATATGCAAACGTACCCTGGTTTAGTATCTGTGTGAATGAGTGCGTGCATGGAGGTATGCGTGTTACCAACAACAACAACATATCATATTTTTTGTACAGGGGAAAAAAGTATGCTTTTTGCAGGAGTTTGGAACACTGCCGAAGGCGCAGAAAAAAAAGCTATCAGCCAGGGCGAAGAAGAAGAGATATTGAAAAGGGAAGAGAGACGTGCTGTCGAAAGGGGGAGAAGAAGTGTGGGGGGTGGGACTCCTATAAAAAAAAAACCAAAGTAAAACACATAAAACTCAGGCGCCGAAGCGCAAAATGCCCTTTGCCCAGAAAAGAACAGCCAAAAATAAATAGAAACTGCTTATTTATTTATTTGTTTCGACAAATCTCAATTGAAACAAAGCTTAAAAGCTTTCAAATCAAAACTCAAATAGAAACCACACCACACACACACACACCACACCGAAAATAGACACACAGATACAAACATACAGAGACAGAAAGACAGACAGAGAGACAAATAAAAACCACAGAAAAAGGGAATGATACAACAAAAAGAAAACGAGAGACAATTACTATTAAATCCAAGTTCAATTTGGTCAGCACACAATTGAATTTTACAGATTTGATTTGGCTTCCATTGCTGATTCGACGGATAAACTATTCCGTATAGTATGTATGTGCATAAGTTCGAGGATTAGCCTGCGGGGATTTTCGGTTTGGACTCTGATCCGACCCGCTTTAGCAGCAGCCACTTTAGTGCCTAATGAGATTTTGCTAATTAAAACTAAAATTAATTTAAACGCGAGAGGATTTGCAATTCCGGTAGTCGTATTGATGGAAATTGAATTAAGTCGCTTTATTGCATTGGATTATTGGATTACGTGTCAAATGTGATGGATAGAGAGAGAGAGAGAGAGAGAGAGAGAGAAAGAGAGAGAGAGCTGATGCCTTGGCACTCCAGTTTTTCGATTAAAAAAACCGGGAGAAAAACTAATGCAAAATCAATAAAGATTAATTCCTCTAAAAATTCCATTTCAATTTCAAAAGAAATCTTTGGGCAAGAATTTTCCTCAGAACATACTCCTAAAATAAATCCAAAAAATTGTCAGGACAACAAATTATGTGGAAACGCTATAAGAATATTCCATCAAAGTAAAAGGTGCAGTACAGTCCCCTATTTCAAAGGAATATGCAAGAAAATAAATACTCCAAATGTTTTTTCATCTTTCTCAAAGAAATATAAAGACTTTTCATCTCATCCCCAGTTCCCAGAAGCTGCCATATTTTGCTTTCGAACAAAAAGGTAGAACACAAAACCTTTATCAAAAGAAATTCAAGATTCAATCCTTTTAAAAGAATTCGAAAGCCATTTTTCTTGTTTGTTATTTCTTAGAAACTCCTTGGCAAAGAAAAACATGGGAAATAGAAAATGGGGTTGGGTTTCCCTCCATCTCAAATGAATGAGCAGGCAATGCACAAATGAAAATCCCTGGCGTAATGCAGCTTAAGGAATAACAACCAAAAATGTTTCCCAAAAAGTATGATTAAATGAAACGTTTTAGAACTAAAATGAAACGAAAAAAAGTAAAACTTTCTGATGAAGAAAAAACAATTCATTTAGAAGTGAATTAGATTATGGAGAATTTTATTGCATGCTATTATAAAAGCTGCTTAGAAATATAAAGCTGCTGAAAGGATTTCAGATATGGAGATGTTCCTCCTTCTCTGTGGAATCTTTGAAGCAAATATTCCTTTAAATTAAACATCAAAGAGATGTCATAATAAATATTTTGGTGTTAGAAAAATCCAGGTTTTCTGTGCAGAACCTAAATGGATTCTTTTCATAGCTTAATTTTCGAAAATATAAGGTTTTCAAAACATACTGAAATCTATTAATGTTTGGGGTGTTCACAAGAACTTTTTCGTAAACCATAGCTATTACCAAGGATATATGTATGTATGTTCCTCAAAGATTTATGAGTACTAAAGCTCTAACAATCAATCGAAATGAATGAATCTCAATCAATGTAAAGACTTTGATTGCTCAAAGACTAGATTGAAAGGGTGTAGTAACTTTTAAAGGGTATCTTTAACTTTATTAAGAACCTCAAAAGTGTCACTTAAATTCCTTAGATAAGGCTAAAGTGTAGACAACGATTAAAGACCCAAGGTTAAGGTTTAAGTTATACAGGGATTTCTGCAAACTAAATCAAAATATAAACTCCCGAAATCCACTCCCGTCTAAATCAATTTCTAGAATTAAACAATTTTCCATAAATATATGTGTCATATCTTGGAGACCCGCAAGTCCAGTCCAATCTATGCACAAATTAACATATTATCTGGAGCCCACATCTGGCAGTAAATCGCAGGCAAGCCCAAACCCGGCCCGGTATCCCGGTATGCCCCAAAATCTGAAGGACACCACACAGCAAAGTGTATAAATTGCTTACGTTTGCCCATGTAGTCATAAAAATTGCTTTGGCACATAAAACGAAGCTTGACGCTCGCTTTGGTTTTGTCTTGGGTTCTGGTTTTCTGTTTCTGGTTTTATTTTGTCTCTCGTTTTGGTTTTCATCGTTTTTTGGGCTTGGTCCTAGCTGTGGCCCGGGGGCCGTGGGCTATGGACTGTGGGGTGTTGTCCTTCTTATATTTCCTATTCGGTCTATTTGTATTTGTATTCGTCCCGATTTGTACGAGTATTTTGCTGTGTTCTCGCTATGGCAAATTCGGTAATCACATTTGAAGCGTTTTATTTGTTTTGTCTCATTCCGGTTTTGACTGTTTCCTCTGTTTCCATTACAGGATATGACAAGTGATGGTGCTGTTACGTTTTGGATATTTTTGCTTTGTTTGATAGCCACCTCGCCGCACCTGAAGGGAGGCGAGGCGGGTAGGCCCGATGAGCTGCATATAGGTGGCATCTTCCCCATAGAAGGCAAAGGAGGATGGCAGGGCGGGCAGGCATGCATGCCGGCCGCAAAACTGGCATTGGATGATGTCAACAAGCAGCCAAATCTTCTACCAGGCTTCAAGCTCATCCTCCACAGCAATGACAGTGAGGTGAGTACTCAAAATAGGGGATAAGCTGTCTAACTCTGTGTGTCTATGCCACTGTATTTATACATTCCCTTTGGCATATGATATGTGTATGTATGAGTATGGTTCTCAGACCCCTTGGGTGCCACTTATTTTGTTTTTTTCTGTTTTGTGTTTCACTATTCCACTGATGACTGGAGAAGGAATTCCACTGGAAGGGGGGGGCTGGCATTCATTAGCATATTTCTCTAGAGACTTTGATCCGGGCTGCCCTGCCTTCTAGTTTTATTATGATTTCTGTCATAGTTTCCACCCATTTAAAGGGTATTTATACGCCACAGTGTTCCGCAAATTGAATTCTCCGCAATTTCTCCGCCATTCCATCCTGCCGTCCGGCAGCAGCCGCAGTCTTTTTGCAACAATTCCCTGCTCCTTTCGAGGATTAACGACCGTACATAAATTGTAATTGAGTTTTGGGTGAACGGCGTGGCCGGACGGGGCAGGACTTGGAGCTGAGCGTTGACCATTTCGCAGGCAATTACATTCATCAAAGTAGAGTTGGGATAAATCGTTGTTTTATGTGTGTGTCATTTGTACTCGAAGAAAAGGTATTTAGGCGAGCAGATGGTGGCATTATCGTGATTATAGCTATAACTACTATATGTTCAATTATTGATTACAATGGACAATTGGAACTAAAGAAAAGAAAGTACGGCTGTTCTCGAAACATCTCTAAGAGAATTTTGCTGTATTTAGAGAGGCTATGGTGAGGATTCTATTGAATATACAACATTTTATAAAAGGTTCTTCCTCTTTCTACAAATTTTAGTACTTACTTTTATACCTTTAATAGATAGTAGGATGATATATTAAAGGTGCACTTTTTTATACTATTTTGGAGTTTTTTTTACATTTTAGTTAGGGTTTAAATATTTATGCAAAGAATGGATTATTCCTATGAATAAAAATGCAAATATAAATAGGGTTAGATTAAGGTTCTTAAGAATGCATCTTATTCTGTTAGAGATAGTTTAGACACACTACATCTTTTATGTAAAAAAATTGTGTCAATCGAGAGCGAGCAAGGCGAGTGAGTCGGGGGTTGTCCTCGTGTTTCTTAACTTTTCTTTTTTACGCAGAAGTATAAGTAAATCGTTTAATTATTGAGCAACACTTTTAAAACAATTTTGTAGACATTTCCGAAGATTTAAGGAACATCATTGTAATATCAAACTCTTCTCCTATAAATTCCATAAAACCTGATTGCTCTGAAGTAGGTAACGAGAGAACATCCAATTAAATGAATTGACTATCAGCCAATATTTATTTTAACTGTTAAATAAATCTCTTACAAAGCCCCCTCGGAAAAGTTTCCAATGGCACAGAACGTAAAACCTAAAACTGTAACTAAAGTTTCAATTTTCCATTGAAATTCAAAGCGAAATTTGAACAAAGAACACTTTTGGGCACACAAAGAGACAAAAAGGCCAGCAGCGTTTACTATCAGACAAATGCCGGCGCTACCCCCAGCCCCATCCGCCATATAAAATGTCGTATATCATAATTAATGGCCGGCAGGAGAGAGTCCCAGGACCCTCACTCGAAAGTAGCTTTGGTCCCTGAATAAAGTACCCCTATCAATGTACAACCACCCCTCAACCCCCCACCACCGCCAATCCACCCGTTCATACAACTATTTTTATATATTTTAATATTTTTGCTTTTGTTTTTCGCCATTTTAAGGGTCTGCTTGCGGTACAGTTGTTGCGGTTTTGACTACTACTTTAGTTTCGGCCCTGGTCTGGTCCTGTGGCATGGTGTATGCTGCACGGAGGGGGCATGAGGCATGGGTGCTGTCTATTTATAAGCGCGAACCTCATTAGTTTTAAGTGAGCGAAAAGCTTAACTACTTGTTTTGAGTTTTGAATGAGGTCACTTTGCCGCGCTCGCGAGCTCTCGCTCTCTCTCTCTCTTAGCTTTCAGCTCATCATTTGAGTTATTTTTATTCAAGGCTGACAGGAGGGACAGCCACACATATAGTACAGACAGACACACAGACGGACCCGCCGCACACTCGTGGCCAGTACCAGTACGGACTGATAGCCGCAGTAGATATTGTATGGCTATGGAACCGGGGGGGGAGTAGGAGTACTGACTGAATTCTGTTCAGTCAGTTCTCGGTTCGCTGGATTTGAGCCTCCTGCTTTGGCGTTCCGTTATGTTTGTGGCTTTGGCAAACAGCTTCCGTTAAATGCTGCATAATTAGTTGCCATCTCCCTGCCACATCACATGGCGCGGCGACAAGCGGCAAAGGTCGCACGCAATGTTTGCCTTTGCCCTCACTGCCTTCTCCTGCCAGTCGTCTCTCTCTCTCAGCCAGCCTCAGAGTCAGCTTCAGCCTGAGCTTCAGCTTCAGCTTTTGCCTGTGCCTGTGCCTTTTGCTTGACCTACTTTGACGTGTGAAATGTCCCAAAGAAGCGTGCACAGGGGCACAGGGAGGGATAAAATAACAGATTTAAGAAAAGCAACGACGCTTTGGAATACCCTTATACTCGTAGGGTCAAAGATAAACCCTACCATTTTTGGTAGTTCAATGAATGACTTCTTTACATTTCAATTTCACACCAAGTATTGGCTAGAAGATGGTTCTGATTTGTATTATTATTGTAAAAACTAGTTAAAGCCATAAAATCATTTAGTGTAGTTTTATTCGCCTAACTTTGAATACATTCAATTTAGGACCTCGTTTTTCTATGGAGGACTTTAAAACAATTTGAATATGTTTCTTCAAAAATTAGCAGATATTATGTGAAGAATATTTTGTATTATTGTGAGATTTTTATAGATATATTATGCTCATAAAACTGGAGTATTTTCCAAGAAAAAGTCTTTCAGATAGAGACTCCATCCCTTCTAATGAGAAAGAGATTTTCATGGATTTATGATGCTCATAAAACGACTAAGTCTTTCAGATTTATACTCCTTTTCTTCTAATACTGATCAAAAATATAAACAGATCTTTATTATGTAGCACCGATTGGTTTGCTGAAGAGATTTCAGAATTGGAAGAGCTATAGCTAATAGATCCCAGCGGTCCAAAAGGCAGCATATTTATGGGTGCGAGAAAAAGTGTTTCCACGATATCTAAGTCTTGGAATGCCTTTTGAAACTATAGTGTCTTTGTCTGTCTAAATATGACCCAAATATGATTCCTTCTCTGCCTTTCAAACTTGTGTACAAAAAGAAATCATAATACCCTCTGTTAGGGTAAGAGTATTACCCGCAGGAGAGAAACTATTAAACAAGAGAGCTCGCCCTCGTCCTGGCACTGGCACTGGCTATGGCTATGGCTGGGTCATAATGCGGCATGCCTCGGGACCTGGCACACATACATAAATATACCCAGGGATCTACAAAGACGATGGTGGGGGAGCAGCAGTACCAGTATGTACGGGATAATACTTATGCATAAACAGGGACTGGACACGAAAACGGAGCCAAAGGAGCAAAGAAGAAAAAACAATTATAGAGGTTGTTTACACGCAAAGCCCGTAAGAAATATGAAAATTGTCGTCAGAGTTGTAGGAGGAGTGGGTGGCAACAGTGGGTGGAGCCGGGACTTGAAGAGGGAACAACAAACTGAGAAAAAACGAGTTTGCCATGTAAATGAATGAGTGGAGAGAATGAATAACTGAATGAATGAATCATTCATATGGTCAACGTGGATATATCACATTTCCTTCATATGGAGGGGGGGCAAAAAAAAAACGAAAGAGAGAGAAGAGGAAGGGAGAGACAGAGAGACACCATAATGAATTATTCATTAGCCATGAATGATTCTTGTTTAATTGATAATTTTCATGTCTGGGGAATAAATAAAAAATGTTTAAAAAAAAAGCGTAAAAAAAGTTATTCCAAATGAAGGCATAAATTAGCATTGAAAACGCAAATTAAAAAGCTGAATCTAGATTCGTGAAATTATATTTCCAGATATGATTAAATGTTTTAGAAACATGTTGAAAGATATTTCGTATACTACAAATAGTGCAGGTATCTACAGAGTATAGCATAGTATACTCGATTGCAGATTATTGACGTGGCGATTATTATAACCAGAACTAAACAAAACAGATGTATATATACTATTCACCGAAAAAAATGCGTGATCTGCCACATCACCCACACGCGAGACACGATAAATGGAAGAAGTATGGATGGGATCCGGCTCTGAGAAGACGAAGATTTACTTATTCTACTGGCAATCGTTGGGATAAACACACAACACACACACAGACGAGACACTCAAAATCCATGCCACGGAATTTACTACAATATCCCTAGATCTATCTAGAAAGCTCTCCGCAAAATACCCCAAAATATATCGCCCAGAAATATCCCCAGGACTATTCATAGAACTCTCCGGACAAAACTTTCCCCTCCAACTCTTCGAACAATCTCTAGAATAAAATCCCAGAAATCTCCCGAAAGAACTATCCCTAGAACTTTCCTTCAGCTTTAAAATATTAGTTCTGATTCGTCCGAAAATGTAGACATATTCCAAATTTCAGTAAAGAAACACCTAAGTAATCTGAAATAGTTTTGAGCCCTAGATCCTTAGATTATGTTCTCTCCAAAGAAAGTTGATGGCCGTTGGGCATCCTCCCCCAAGGAAACCGACGACGCGAGCATGCAACATCGACAATCGAAAACGGGGAGTTCAAAAGGAAGCCGCAATACTATGTCGGAAAGAGCTGAAGAAAACAAAAAGCAGAAGGATCCATGGACGGTCTACGATGCCAAGGTAAATCTCCGCATAAGTGATTGCCTTGTGATGCTGGAGTGCAGCCCCCAACCGGAGGAGGCATTCCACCACAACTCCCGGGAATGCCAATGCGCAAGGGAGTGGCTCAATGAACTGACATCTATGAAATGCGACACGGTGCTGGAGGCGTGCCTGCGGAACGGATACATTAGTGCGTTGAGTGTGTGCCTAAACCAGAAGAGCCTCTACGGGATCTTCGAGCAGATGCCACCGGAAGAACTCAATTTGATGGAAATTCTGGACACCTCGACTAATGCGTCATCGAATCATGCATCATTCAGGACAAATCATGCGTCGAGGCAGCAGTTTGAATCGACGCGGGGACCACAGCGACCCTTTGAGACAACGAATTTGGAAAGTCCTCAGTCTTCAAGCCGACAACCGCGGGAAGCGGTGGATAGACAACAGCGTTTCATGGAAGAACCGCAAGGACTTAGGATAGAACCTCAGGTATATAGGGCAGAAGAACCGCAGAGATTCCAGCCACAGCGGCAGCGATATCAGGAACAGCCACAGTCAGAAACCTTCTATGATCCTGCCACCTTTCCACCAGCGCCCCATGTGCGGCAACAGTCGGGCGCCTACTACAAACCGTCGAGCGTGAAATTCGACACCTTCGGGGCGCCCCCTCGCGTCAAGGCGGCAAGTAAAAAAGGAAAAGGGTTCTCCCCATCAGGTGAAGAAGGAGGAGGTGTGACAGCTAAGGATTTGGGCAGTGCCATCAAAGAGGCTCCTCCTGATTCTTATTCTGCTATGCCCACACGTTCGATTCTGAAACGGAGCTGCTTCAACGGGCAGGCCCCTCATGTTTATCCATCATATGTCAAGACGCCACTATCTTTCAATGATAAACAATACTTTGATGATGAAATTTGTTATAAAAGTCCATTGAAATCCTGTAAAACGAAATTCGCTAGCCAGAAAGAGTACGCGATCAAGGGATCCAGACAGAAAGAGTACGGCTTCAAGCGATCGAAACAGAAGGAGCAGCAGATCGAGCAACACAACACTCATGGCACCCCGACGAATCAGTGGAAACCAGAGGCCGCCGAGGAGGAGTCTGACAGAGAGAAAACCAGTCAAACTGTGATAACAAACCGCTATTGCGACATGACCTTCCTAAGGGAGTGCATTAGTCGCGCGCTGCGCGGTGAAACATCCGAGGGAGCAAACGACTATCTGGATTGTGAGATAGAGAGCTACAAGAAAATCTGCAGCCGATACAGATGCGACGATCCCGAATACAAGAAGAAAATGCTCGGAGGGGATCCTATTGAGCAGAGGACATACCTGTTGCGCAATATGGAAGAGGATTTGACCAATTATGTTCCTTTACTGAGGAAAAGAAAGATGACAATTTAAAAGATCTCAGAATACAATTAAAATTTACCAAAAATATGCTCATCGAAACCACTGAAACACATTTAGAACATTTTTGGGGAACAGATAATTGTTATACCCGATACTCAAAATGGGTTGAGGGGTATATTAGATTTGTGCTAAAAGTGGACTTGTGTAACGTCCAGATAGCGTTTCCGACCCCATTTAGTCGGTCTGCCTGACCCTATGAGCGCCTAGTGCTCAAAGACTATAAGAGCTAGAGCAATGAAATTTTATATCCAGAATTCTGTGATATTTCTCTGTTACAAGTTACAAGTATTTCAAAACTTCGCCCCGTCTCCTTCCGCCCCCACAAAGGAAGAAAATCTGTGGCATCCACAATATTGAAGAAAATTACCATATCTACCAGATTTCCGAATCTGAATCTTTGTCGGACGGAGGAGAGCCATTGATATATTGCACCAGATAAGAAGGTGTTAAAGTGCCCTAATTCACGAATCATTATAGGTGGTGTTGCGTGATTTATTCATAAATAATGTTAACCCCATAACTCCCATAAATTCAAAAAAAAAAGATATGCATTTACATTGTGAATTTTACACACAAAGTTAAAGGCCAACAAAAATAAATCTAGCATTCCGTATTGCAATATTTATTGGAATAATTAATTAGAAGCCCAGAAATAATGCAAGATTTATGGAGGAGTCAGGCTTTTTCTATTTAAAATGGTAAAATTTTTACATTTTAATTTTGTGGAGTGAAAAAGTAAATCAAAGATTTCAATAAACACATTTTATTAAGCCTATTAAATTTGAGCTATGAAATATTTATAGAATGAGTTTTGTGAATAAAAGATGCACATTTTTGTACTGCTTTTGCCACCAGATATTGTGTGTTGGAAAGCTGCAAATTTTTTAGTACACAATGAAGTGTTTGAAGTCTTTAAAAATAAGTAAAGAATATAAATAATGCTTCACAAAATAAGTCGAAAAAAACTATTGAAATTTGGAAATATTTAAATAGCATCAACTGTAGCATCAGTTTGCCAAGAATAATGTTCATTAAATTAAACATTTGTTTAAATTTGATTGGAAATTCATTCATTTTAATACAAGTTAAACCATTTCCCGTCATAAATCTCGTATGTTAATCGACTCGAATTACCGTTTTATGTAGTCATCCGAGTACTCGTAAATCTCACAGGAAATAAAGCATTTTAATTATTATTTCCCCTCCAATGACAGACAACAATAAATCACACAATTGCAGAATTTTCAAAAAATAAGAATCGTTTGGTTTGGATTTCTACAACTGCTTAAGAACCACTACACACAATAATCAATAATCCCAGACACATGTATACGAGCCAACAATTGGGAAGTTATTTATTTATATTTCAACAGAATATTTAGCCGCAGAAAATACATATATTTGTTCTGTTGGCAAGCCACCGAATGAGGTTAGAAAGCTAATTCACTTTTCGTTCTATTCTATTGCCATTGACAGTGCGAGCCGGGACTGGGCGCCAGTGTGATGTACAATCTGCTGTATAATAAACCGCAAAAACTCATGCTACTGGCTGGATGCAGCACTGTGTGCACCACTGTGGCAGAGGCTGCCAAAATGTGGAATCTCATTGTGGTGAGTGTGCTGGCTGCCAAATTGCATAATGCAAAATTCCATAATGATTCCCACTCTCTGTTCTCTCTTCTCTTTTCACAACAGCTTTGCTATGGAGCCTCGAGTCCTGCCCTGTCAGATCGTAAGCGTTTCCCAACGCTTTTCCGTACCCATCCATCGGCCACGGTGCACAATCCAACGCGCATTAAACTGATGAAGAAATTTGGTTGGTCTCGCGTGGCCATCCTACAACAGGCCGAAGAAGTATTTATATCGGTAAGTCGATGGTGGTGGTACAGTCACAACAAAACACATCGTGATATTTATAAGAGAAACATCTTTGTAAATAATTTCAGACCGTAGAAGATCTTGAGAATCGATGCATGGAAGCTGGCGTTGAAATCGTAACTAGACAATCATTTCTATCCGATCCAACAGACGCCGTACGCAATTTACGACGCCAGGATGCACGCATCATTGTGGGACTCTTCTATGTGGTGGCCGCCCGTCGAGTGCTCTGCGAAATGTACAAACAGCAGCTCTATGGGCGGGCACATGTATGGTTCTTCATAGGTAAGCACTAAGGGCAGTTACACGAGTCCCGAATCAGTCGAGCGCGAAGGGTCTCTGTTCGTGACATGTGTCCATTCACTTATGCAAAATTTATGGGAATTCCTTTTATATCCATTCCCTTTTTTCCAGGCTGGTATGAAGATAATTGGTATGAGGTGAATCTAGTATCCGAGGGCATCACCTGTACTGTTGAGCAAATGCGTATAGCTGCTGAAGGACATCTAACGACAGAGGCTCTCATGTGGAATCAGAACAATCAGACAACAATATCCGGTATGACTGCAGAGGAATTTCGGTAAGCGAATCAATGAATATAAACACATCATGTCCATAACTAAAATAAATGTTTCCCTCTATAGACATCGACTGAATCAGGCTTTAATTGAGGAGAAATACGACATAAGTCATGGGCGCTATCCGGAGGGCTATCAGGAGGCACCCCTAGCCTATGATGCTGTCTGGAGTGTGGCATTAGCTTTTAATAAAACAATGGAACGTCTAACGATGGGCCAGAAATCCCTGAAAGATTTCACCTATACGGACAAGGAAATTGCCGATGAGATCTATGCGGCCATGAATTCAACACAGTTTCTGGGTGTATCGGTAAGTATTCATGAATGTTCCACAATTCTATGAGATTTCCTACAAAGGATTCTAATTTTCTTTAGGGCGTTGTGGCATTCAGCTCGCAGGGCGATCGTATTGCCCTCACACAGATCGAACAGATGGTGAAGGGCAAGTACGAGAAATTGGGATACTACGACACCCAGCTGGATAACCTAACCTGGTTGAATACCGAACAATGGATTGGTGGCAAGGTGAGCATTGAAATATCATTCAAAACAATAATTGTAGACTTAGAGTAATCAGAACTTTTATAAGCAAAATGTCTGATAAAGATAAGAAGCCGGAGAAAGCAGAGGATACCAAACGAGATAGCTCTGGCAAACCGCCTGCTCCTTCAGTTAGTCCCAAACCAAAATCTGAGAAATCTAAGAAAGGTTCTGATACAGAAAAACCTGTAGAATCGCCACAAACCTCTGCGGATAATCAAAAGTTGGAATCAAAAATATATGAGGCGGAAGCATCTGAAGGTAAAGCTTTGCCGAACCACACTGAACATGCAACAGATCTAGAAAGCGAGGAAACCCTACCACAAAGCCAACAAAATGGGAGTATTGAAACTCAAACAAGCTTTGTATCGGGGTTAGATAATGCAGAAGGTCAACAATCAGTGGATCAAATACTTAGTAAAGCTGAACATGCAATAGAGCCAGAAAGCCAGGAAACCCTACCACAAAGCCAACAAAATGAGAATATTGAAACTCAAACTAGCTTTGTATCGGAGTTAGATAATGCAGAAGGTCAACAATCAGTAGATCAAATACCCAGTACCACAGTTTTAGAATCTACACAGGAAAATAAAATACATCTTGAGCCAATCGAGACGGATAACGAGCTACAAGAGGAGGATAATGTAAGTCTGGTTGGTACTCAGACCACCGTAAGTGTGCAGACCTCTCACCCAAAGAGAGATTCAGATGATAGTGATGCAAATTCTGAAAGTGAACTGCCCTACGTACCCGACTGCGGTGAAACGGTGCCGGACGATAGACTTAAAGATATCCCAAGTGTTAAAAGACCTTCGTTCGACAATGTCAGACATGAACCATCTATTGGTGGTGTGTCCAGACGATTCAAAGCACAATCGACGCCTACTACGGCAGACAATCAGTTCCTAACCCCAGAATATATAAAAAAATTGTATGCCCAGAAAGACCAAGAGGAATCTGAGTTAAGAAATCGCGGAAAAGTCAGAACTTTAGAAGAGATACGGGGTCCTAAGAGCACAGGCACACACCAGTTCTCCGAAGAAGAACAAGAAAATGAAATATCTTTAGATGATAATGATGATCCTCTTATAAAACATAAAGCCAGTAATACTAGAATCTCTCGAGTGTCTCAAAGATGGGAGGAGGATTTTGATGAAATTATCGTATATGAAAAAGATTCAAAGGAAGAAACAGTGAAGACTACGGAAATAATAGAGGAAAAAGAAGAGGAAATTTCAGCGGAAATTAAAAGTGAACCATCTATATCTCAGATGCACTATCACTTTTACGGTCTTTTACGAGACATTGGGGTTAACACAGTAAACCCTTGCGATCCGATCGATGATGGTACACCCATCGATCCCATAACTCCCTTCAAAATAGATATGAATCGCATAAACGAACTGTTTGCAGCGCCACAGTCGGAGTATGGGACATACGAGATGGAAACTGGCAGTCGTTCCTACTATGAGGGATGCGAATACCACTTTCCAGGCAGAAACCATTGGAGTAGGCTCTTTCGTGATGGCTTTCAAGGGACGTACCTATCACGGCTTCCAATGCACTGGGTCTATACGGTTCTATCTACCGTGGGATATATATTATTTGTGTTTCTCTTTAGCATGGCCTGGTTCGATCATATTACGGAGGATATGACCAACAATCAACCAATTACAAAAATGTTGCAACCCCATTTAAGTCTTTCTCCGACTGCAACACGTGGGCTCACATTTGACCCACGAAACGATACTGAAGTCAATGATATGTACACCAGGATTTTGGACTTTTTCAAGAAATATGACAACTTGGAGGAGAGTGAACGCTTCGGACCCTGCACGGCTGATCAAAAGTTTGGGTATATGAGCAGGTCGCCTTGTGTATTCCTCAAAATTCATCGTCTGATTGGATTCAAAACTGTTCCTTATACACATCCAGATCAGGTGGACAGAGAACACTGCAAAACACACGATGAAATGATATTAAAGAGTCTTTTAAGGAACATCACATCCCAAGAGGAACGTCAGAATCGCATTTGGCTTACTTGCAGCACCAAACCCAAGAATAAAATTCAAATTGAGTTCTATCCAGAGCCAGCTATACGAACGGAATACACGGATATTGAAGAGAAATTTGTAAAAGACACACTTGACCAGGGGGATTTGAATCGTATTGTGGCTCTCAAGCTACGAAATCTAAGAGCAAACGAACGAATTGACATCAATTGCAAGATCTGGGCACAGAATATTTACCATAATGAAGAAGATTTTGGTCAAGTTTCGTTTTTTGTAATAATGGGACATGAGAAGAATCGTCAGAGGGTGCAACAGGCCCTCATTTATCATGATTCATTGTGATTTCTTATTAATACTTCTTGTAGATACTAATTCTTATAAAGTAATACATTTGAATGGGTTTATATATAAATTTAGGTTCCTCAAGATCGCACAATTGTTACCCATGTCCTACGCACAGTTTCCTTGCCATTATTTGTGTGTATGTGCACCATCTCCAGTTGCGGCATCTTTGTTGCATTCGCCTTGATCATCTTTAATATATGGAATAAGCATAGAAGGTAACTATTAAAGAGAGAGTTCCCCTTCGGCGCATGTTTAATTTCTATCAAATTTGCAGAGTAATACAATCCTCACATCCTGTTTGCAATACGATCATGTTATTTGGTGTCATCATCTGTCTCACATCAGTCATCTTATTGGGCATGGACGGACGCTTTGTAAGCCCCGAGGAATACCCAAAGGTAAGATATCCCTACTGAAGTTATTTCGACTCCTTTATTCACACGTTTTTTTCCACTTTTTAAAGGTTTGCCAAGCTCGAGCTTGGTTATTATCCACCGGTTTTACATTAGCATATGGTGCAATGTTCAGCAAAGTCTGGCGTGTGCATCGTTTTACAACAAAAGCGAAAACTGACCCGAAGGTACAAGAATCATTAAATATTGACTTAACCCTATTGAAAAACACAACGTTTTCTTACTGTAGAAAAAAGTGGAACCTTGGAAGCTATACACCATGGTTTCGGGCCTCTTATCAATAGATTTAGTGATATTACTCTCATGGCAGATCTTTGATCCGCTGCAGCGTTATCTCGAAACATTCCCACTCGAAGATCCAGTATCTACAACTGATGATATTAAAATACGTCCAGAGCTTGAGCATTGTGAAAGTCAACGCAATTCCATGTGGTTAGGTAGGTACCCAAATATCTTGATTATAATTTTCCATTAGGAACTCACACAGATATTTCTGTACCTACAGGCCTTGTCTATGGCTTTAAGGGCCTTATTCTGGTGTTTGGCCTATTTTTGGCCTATGAGACGCGTTCCATTAAAGTGAAACAGATCAACGATTCGCGTTATGTGGGCATGAGCATCTACAATGTGGTCGTTCTATGCCTGATAACAGCACCGGTGGGCATGGTCATTGCATCGCAACAGGACGCATCCTTTGCCTTTGTTGCTCTAGCTGTGATATTCTGTTGTTTCCTAAGCATGCTGCTGATATTTGTGCCAAAGGTATGTCCTCCCATCCGTCTTTTAATAACCAATTAAGAGCGATGCAAATGCCTTTCGCAGGTCATTGAGGTCATACGACATCCCAAGGATAAAGCCGAGTCGAAATACAATCCCGATTCGGCCATATCGAAGGAGGATGAAGAACGCTATCAGAAACTGGTTACCGAAAACGAGGAATTACAACGATTAATAACACAGGTAAACAAATCAATCAACATATCAAATATGTTGTTCCGCTTACATTCATTCATGGATTCCCAATGCCATTTGCAGAAGGAGGAAAAGATACGGGTCCTACGACAGCGGCTCGTGGAGCGGGGCGACGCCAAGGGCACAGAACTGAATGGAGCAACGGGCGCCGCCTCTGCAGCAGCAGCCACGACGTCACAACCCGCTTCTCTCATCAATGCATCCGCATCCGCACATCCCACGCCCGCAGCCACACTCGCAATCACACAAGGTAAGTGATCCACATAGATAATGATGATGGATGATCCCTCTCCTCATAGACATTTGCATGCGGAACTTAACTGTTGTATTAGCTCGATATAATTGTAATGTTTTCAATCTCAATTAGAAATTTTGGCCATTTTCGTGGGCATTGACACAATTGATTAGGTACAACGGCGTAGAAATGGAGTTCAAAGGTTATATTGCATACTATGCTACGCAAAACTCACCTGCCAGCACACTAAGCACTTAATTTCATTAAAATATCTCCTTTAAAACACCTAAAAACACACAATTTCACTTTTTTCCGCACAATTTTAACTCTCAATAATACGGTAAATTCGATCAACAAGTGGTGTCGATGGTTGTGCATCCGATACTTGCTAGTATCGATATAGCTATTCTATCTCTCTATCGATGTTTCGATCTTCTTTTTTAATTTGAACTTTGAATTTGAATTGAAACTAATTCCATTGTGATTTCCTTTTGCAGATACTCATGAGCATCGTACATGAAAAAACTTGTCAATTTCCTTTGCGTGATAGGTGAATTATACAAGAGAAAATATGAAATGCATATAAGAAGGATGAAAAAAACGAAGGAAGAAACGGACAAATTTAATATATAATGTGTACTTAATAAACTTTGTATCAACTTTAAGCTGAGCTAAATAAGTGAATTGGTAGCAGCAATTTTGTAGATTAACTGAAATATGTATTGTACCTTAAACGTGTTAGCATTAATATGGAAAACGAAATACTTTTAACTTACAAATAACTAAGACAAAACGAAAAGAAAACTCTACACTAGCATCTGAACTAAGCAAATTGTTAGGCTTTAAAGTTGGAAAAAAAAACAAACAAAAAAAAACAGTAGTCAAGAAAGCAAACCGAAAACCAAAACCAATCATGTTAAAGTTAGTAATTTTTAAATGCAAAATGGGAAAAGACAAAAATTGTTGTGTTTTTTAGTACATATTACTGTTGATTTCGTTTCGCACCTATTTTGCTCAGTGCTGTCTCCTAGAGCTCTATTAATGCATAGCCTGCAAGAACAAACTCACACACAAAAGATTCCCCCCATGGCGGCCTTCTCCTGAACTTTTGTTATATGTATCTTACAAGACACGTCTTTATCTGAACCAGGTCGCGGCAATACAAACCAAACTCCTAGACTCCAGGAGCCAAGCCCAGTACTATCTCTCTCTCTCTCTCTCTCTCTCTGTCTTTTTCAGCAGGCGGCGATGGGGCTTGGTTCCTTATAGATAAGTTAGCTTTAGAGATTTTGTATAGATCCAAATGTGTGTGTGAGTATGTCGTGTCGTGTATAGTGCACTCGGTCAAGTTTTAATAGTTTAAATTTCAGCGAATCGTAAATAGCACAAATCGAATGAAGAGTCTAGCAAATCTTAGATAATGAAGGGATATATATATACATATAGTATAGCATAGCCTAGTGTAGCCTCAAAAGTTAATATTATATTATGGGTGGGTCAAAGTCAAGGCTCAAGTAACGTTTTAATTTGTATGTACTGTTATACATAGACGGAGGGAATGAAGAAAGGAAGCTAATGAGAAGCTAAAAATATTAATGAGAAATTTTTGAACATACTGTAAGTTCTAAAATTGCATTTATAAATTATATATGTATATATATATATATATATATATATATATATATTATACACGGGAAATGAAGGAATACCAGATATAAATGAGCGTGTCGTTATATAGGAATTGACTTTATTTAAACTGAAACAAAAAAAAAACAACAACTGAAACCTACTGAGAAAGATGACTCACTCTCACACACTCTCTATAACTCTCACTCTCACTATCTCTGATCGAATTGGAACATTTTTATAATTCAATCAATCACAACACACTCACATTCGAACATTCAAACAAATGAATTGAACATTCGAAAACAAAGAATTGAAAATAAAATATGAAGAAAATCCATCACGAAAAGTGCTAGAGAAAAATCCACATAGAAAACATCAAATTCCTACGAAATGAAAGACTTTAAAATCTAAGCCGTTAAAATGAAAGGGAAAACCAAGTAAAAAACAAAAACAAAACTATACACACGATAAATCATTGATGATTATATGATATATATATACGAGATAAATATATAAAGATATATATATGTATATGGAATTTACACATGGCAAAAGATCATCTCTAGTAAATTGATATTTGTTAAGGATCGTTGGAATTTGTAGTTTAATTGGATTGATTGTGTTTGGTATACATTTAGGGAACGCTGTTAGGGTAGATCATGTATGTATATTGTATATAGAACATTTAGCTTCGGCTCCTCTCAACACAGAAATCCACATACGCCCCAAAAATAAAAAGCGCAAATTTTTAACCAAATAAACATATGATTTTGAATTACTTATTGATTTAAATAATTATTCTCAGATCACAACCGAATGAAGAACTTTTAGTGAAATAAGACACACACACTTTAGCCAAGCTAATTGTTGTATAAATACGAGTAAATACATAGAATAAACCAAATGCAAAAATAAATCCAGATTTATTTCCAATGAAAAAACACACACACCCCATAAAAAAGAAAGAAAACCCTACTGTTAGTGACAAAAAAACCCCCCCCAAAACGAAAACCACAAAAACATGGTAGCAATATGAAGGGAAAGAAAAGCAAAAAAAAAAAACAAAGAACCTGTAAAAGAATGAAAAACTCGGTATGTTCTTATGAAAGTAACATTAACGAATTAATTTAAAGTTTAATAAAACGGAATAAATGAGAATTTTACTGAATAAAAAGCAAAACACACAAAAACTGAATTTAGGAAGTATTCGAATACTTTTTTCTTTTATTTAAAAAGGTTTTGATTTTAAGCTATAAAAAAGTCAGTGGAGCATGGTTATAAGTGTACTTTCTTACCCAAAGGTAAGACATTTTTACTGATGATTTTTCTATTTTGTAACTCCCATTTTTACCTTTAATTTTTGTAGATTTGTCAACCTTTAACTTCGTTATTATCCACCCGTTGTACATTATCGAAAACTGGCTTGAAGGTACAAAATCCATAAAATTTTAACTTTGCTACATTAAAAACAAAATGTTATATTTTCTAGAAAAACTAATAAAAAAGAGTAACCTTTGAAGCTAGTGATCTTGGCAGATCTTTGACCCGCTGCAGCGTTATGTCGATACATTCCCACTCAAACCCCTACAACTGATGATATCAAAATACTTCCAGGGCTAGAGAATTGTGATATTCAACGCAATTCCATGTGGCTGGGTAGGTACCCAAATATCTTGATTATAATTTTCCATTAGGAACTTACACAGATATTTCTGTACCTACAGGAATTGTCTATGGCTTTAAGAGAATTATTCCCAAGGAGGATGGAGGGTTACCAAAAACTTTAACCCACTGCGGCGTTATCGCGAAACATTCCCACTCGAAGATCCAGTATCTAAAACTGATGATATTACAATACTTCCAGAGCTTGAGTATTGGGAAAGTAAATGCGATTCCATATGGTTAGGTAGGTACCCAAATATCTTGATTATAATTTTCCTTTAGGAACTTACACAGATATTTCTGTACCTACAGGAATTGTTTATAGCTTTAAGGGCCCTATATCCAAGGAAGATGAAGAACGCCATCAAAAATTGGTTGCCGAAAACGAGGAATCACAAGTTTTCTGTGTAAAATGTAGAAAATATGGATAAAAGGTATATGATCTTGGAGCTGGGATAGACGATGATACCTCTCAAAGAATTATCATTTCAATTACATATTCATTTTTGCAGGAAATACTCTTATTTTAATTGAAATTTCTTGTTGCACTCCACTCGTGCCGTGCATTTTTAATGAGAGATTCAACAACCTTTCAGCATATTTGCATAAAATATTCATTTGAATTATTAATATTGGAAACGTGTTGGTGGGGCGATTAACATCAATTGGATTAAGTACATAAATCATTGCATATAAAAAGGTTTAAGATCCAATTTAAAAAATTTTAAGATATAAAAATAGTAATATTTTTCAGCCCACTTTCAAATTTAAATCAGTCAACCTATTGGACATGGATGGATGCTTTGTTAGCCCCCAAAGAATACCCAAAGGTAAGATCACTTTTGTGAAGTTTTAAGAATTCTTTAACTCATATTTTTGCCTTACTTTTGTAGATTTTTCATATGTGAAAGTCAACGCAATTCCATGTGGTTAGGTGGGTACCTAAATATCTTAATTATAATTTTCCGTTAGGAACTTACAAAGGTATTTTTGTACCGACAGGCCTTTTCTATGGCGCTAAAAGCATAATTCTGGTGTTTGGCATACATCTATACATCTATAACCCTTTTTCATATTTGAATTGGAATTTCAATTGGATTAACTAAATAAAACATTGAATATACGCAAATATTTATAATTACAATTATGAAAATTTAACTCTGATATGAGCTCATATTTATTACATTTTAAAATAATAAAAAAAATATTATATACATATATACAAATTTATTTATTCAGAAACCCACTTTCAAATTAAAATGCAAAACTCTAAAGCCAACAACGCACCATTAGTCTCCCCCTCGATCTTATCGGTTCACTGCACATTTGATTATATTCCAGATGGGCACTCAGACATCATCCAAAAGGTTATTTTTAAAATATTACCAATTGAGTGCGAGTGCGTATCGCATCTTTTTCCTTCCGCTTGTGTTACTAATTTTAATCATCCACAAAACTCAGCAGAGAAAACAGACAGACAGATCTCCCACAGCTCTTCGGTATAACAGATTATAACAGTCATTCCGATTATAACAGCTCACCTGAGCTGAGCTTTAAGCTTGCGCGATCGGTCTGCCAGAGTATATTATGCTCGTCTTCGAGCACAGATCTTGCACTCAGCGCCCAAAGCTCGTATCGAACGGTTATAAAAGCGGAGATCGAACCGAATAAAGTACTTCCGAACAAATTCAAATAAACAAACACAGTATGTATTCCATAAGATTGGTGAGCCTAGGGCTAGTCTTGTGCCTGATAAGCTGCTGGAGCTGGAGTGCATTGGCCAAGCTCGAAGAGAAATTCTCGTGGAAGCAACTGGCCTTCGACTGGCCCAGCCCAGAGGCGGAGGCGGAGGCCAAAGCAACTGGACACTACATCGAGGAAAATAACCTGCCGCTGGGCGTGGAGCGTTGGCAAAACAGAATCTTTGTCACTGTGCCAAGGTAAATTACCAAATACATACATATATTTTCAATTTATAGTATTCAACAGACCGAAAACCAATTTGTGATTACCTCTTCCATTACCTTACCATTTTTGGTTGTTTTGTTGGTAATTAAATGTCAAGCTAGACTTGCAAAATCACTGACTGGCTCCATAAACCGGTTTCCCAGTTGGCTAGGGTAACTTTAAACGTTTATTTTCCTTTGTCTATTTTGCATTTTAAATTGTAGTTTCTAAATGTAAATTCTCATTGGAAATTGATTTATAATTAATAAGAGAAAACATTCAAATGGTAAAGTAAACACTTGGTCAGATTTAATTAGAACCTTTTCACAGAAAAGGTCAGAACGATCACAGCGTGACGTCAGCACTAGTGGGGTTTACCCTCGACTCAATAGAGATTCGATCCCAAAAGGCAAATAAATTTGTGATTATTTTTTGGGAGCTCTGACTAATCAAAACAAGAACAAATTTTTAGGGAATTATCAGTAGGATGACACACAAATAGTAGAAATTTCCAGTTCAATTCTGAAATGGTAGATTCATATATAATCAACTCCCAAACAATCTGTGATCTCCCAAGGGTCCCTATAATAGATTTAAAAATTTTTCTAGATCTCTGTCTTGAAACCCAATCTCTAATATCGATCCCTTCCCCAGATGGAAGGCCGGTGTTGCTGCCACCCTCAACTACATTGATCTCACATCAACGGAGAAGTCACCAAAACTGCATCCCTATCCCAGCTGGGAGGCCAACAAATTGCCCATCGATGTCCAACCTCAAGAGCAAAAGACACCCTCGGGTGGACGGCTAGATGCTGACAAGGCTCAGGATGCTGGCATACAGTTGAAGGACAACTCCACCATCATTTCCACATTCCGAATTCAGGTCGATGTGTGCGATCGTCTGTGGGTACTGGATACGGGTCTGGCTGATATTCTGGGCAGTCCCAAGAAGATTACACCGAATACCATCCTGATCTTTGATCTCAAGACTGATACATTGCTGCGTCGTTTCACCATTCCGGCTGATCAGTCCAAGGAGGATTCGTTCTTTGCCAATATAGTGAGTAAATAATGAAGAAATATTGACTTACTTATACTAAGGAATGTATTCCATTAACAGGTTGTGGATGCTGATCGTTCAGAGTGCCAAGATGCCTTTGCCTATATCCCCGACTTGGGTGCCTATGGTGTGATTGTGTACTCCCTCCGGAACGACAAGTCATATCGCGTAAAGCACAACTTCTTCCACTTTGATCCGCTGCAGGGCGATTTCAATGTGGGTGGCGTTAACTTCCAGTGGACGGATGGAGTCTTTGGCCTGGCCGTGGGTCCCATGAATCCGGATCACTCCAAGGATATCTACTTCCATGCTCTGGCCAGTACCAAGGAGTTCAAGGTGTCCAACCGAGTGCTGCAAAACGAGTCGCATGTGACCGGTGGCGATTCCTACTATGACTTCAAGTATGTGGGAGATCGCGGCATGAATGGACAGTCCACCGCCGAAGTCTTTGATCCGGAAACCGGTGTCATCTTCTACACGCAAGTAAACAAGGATGCCATCGCCTGCTGGAACATCAAGCGTCCCTACACGCCCGACACTCAGGGCCTCATTGATTCCGATTCTCACACCTTGGTCTTCCCCAACGACTTGAAGATTGATAATGAGGGCACCATCTGGGTTCTGTCCGACAAGATGCCAACGTATTTGTACAAGGAGCTGGATCCCTCGGCCGTCAACTACCGCATATTGATGGGCAACAACCGCGATCTCATCAAGGGTACACCGTGCGAAATGTAAGCAGCAGCCGTTTCGGGCATTTGTTGTGTGATTTGTGTCGCGGCGCATATTTGTATTTACATATGACATTATTTTCGGTTAGTAAGTCAGCTTAATAAACTATTCCCAATGTGATTAATTGCGTTCATGGGTTCTTAAGTTAAATGTCAGACTTCAGCAGATTGTCGGCCAGTTGTACCTTCTCTCCCGGCTTGAAGGCGGGCATGCCCAGGTAGGGGCAGGTAGAACAACGAAAGGCGTCGCCCAAATAGCACTGGAAATGCAAAGATCAAAATAATTATGAATACGATAGGAATTCCGGGGATTAACATACATTTCCGCAGCTGGATTTGGCGTTTTCAGAGGCCGTTGCGGTTTGTTTCTCGCTCTCCAGCTCTTCGGCCAGGCCGCAGGAGCAGTTCTTGCAGGCCTTGCGCTTGCCTGTGGTGCTGCACACTTTCAGACCAGCCGGGTCTGGCTTCTGTTTGTCCTCCTCATCCAGCAGGTCTTCCTCGTCGATCAGCTCCTCATCATCGCCGCTGATTTTCCACACATTCAGAGCGCTGGCGTTCTTCTTGGCAAACGACAGCCTGGCCGAGGAACCAGTCTCGTAGCCGGGCTTCTCTGCTGTAAGTGTATCTGTACCCTCGCTGCAGTTAATGAACCCAGACAGTTTGATTTCCTGCAGCAAGCTGCTGGCGGGCCCAATGAAGGAAAACAAATGGAGTTTTCCACTGGGCTTCAGCATGTGCAGCAGCTTTACGTAATTGTCGGTGAGCTGGGCGCACTCAATGACAATCAGGTCGAAGCTGGAGTTGGCGTAGGAGGCTGAAATTCGATGCAGGTCGCTAATGAATATGCTGACTCACAGGCAAAACTCACACGGAGCACCAATCTCACACGCAACTTACAAAACGAAAGGCGATGCACATTTTCCACAGCCACCTCGCCCCCGGTGGCTGTTTTCAGCTGTTCCACACGCTTGTCTAGATCGGCGCTATCAGTCCATATGTATAGAGATTTTTGCAGACCCTTAAATTGCTCCATTATCACTGTTTCTAGAATGTTTTTTTAAGTTTTTTAGCACCGCTGTTTGATTTCACAAGTATTAGAGATGGCCGAATGAACAAAAGTGACATCGATTGTAGGTACCGATAGTGTAAGAAGTGATATTCACTGCACTGTTCACGCATTATCACATCCTGCACGTATAGGTTTTAAGGTTGGTGGAGTATAAGGAATGAAGCTTGTCCAACAATATAGAATATACGAATATATTTTCATACATGACTTCGCTTTGGATTATTTGTTCATTAGGGTATTCAAAGTGCGACGTGCAACTTCAATCAAACAGGATGAATGAAACTTTTTCATCACGAACTAGACAGCAAATCCCAAAAAAAGACAGAAAACCCAACAACCGGATTTCAATACTATCGACTGGATAGAAGAGCTGCGCGCTTAAGTTTGAATTTGAATGATTGACAAGGATATATACGCAGTCCCTTTGAGCGAAAGTTAAAAACCTTCGTATGGAATTTTCTATACCCTACGTTCTTTAATATAACTTTAAACTGAAATTTAATAGTTTGATCAAATTAATAAGATATTCCATTATATACCGATACACCCTAAATATACAATAAATTTCAACTCAATTTCCACGTCACATTATATATAAAAGTTGATAATATACCGTACACCGTACCGGCACCGCCCCCTCTGTTCGATGATAGAAAGAATATAAGTGATATCGATTGTAGCTACCGATAGTATAAGAAGTGATATTCACTGCAGTGATATCTTCACTCACGAGATGGATCACGAGCTGTGGAATTTAAGCATTCAAATATTTCCAGGCAGGGAAAATTGACAACTACAACTAGACCACAATTAAAGACACTAATAAATATTCAATGAAAGTTGTGTACCACGTTTGCCAAATCCAAATGCCATTTTTCATTCTTAACCTACAGCCCTTATTTTGAAGCCAAGCACGTATTGCACTTTCCCACGGACACCATTAAATATTAATGGGTCAGAAGGGTCAAAGGGTAGCTTGATTTTTGAATATCAAATGAGGGCGCGAGAATCGATACATTTTATGAGTGTTGGTAAACGGGTGGAATAGTTGGTAGTTCAGTAAACTGCTGCTGAAAGTAGCTATAGTTAAATTTCTATCTAAAGAGCTTCGTCTTATTCAGCGCCCTATACTAAATAATTAGATTTGTATTAAAATATTCAGAAGTGACAGTATATCGCCACAAAAAACATTTAGCTATAAAATAGCTGGCTCGCCATATCCCTCTTTTGTACAATCGTAGTGTTGTTAAGAGGTGAAGATATCGCCGGTAGGTGTCAACTATCGTAAATAACAAACCATCGAAGTATCGATACAACATCCTCTCATAGTCGCTTTTTTTAGTTGTAGCTATTATAAATATAACTCAAGCGCTAGTTGCAGCGTTAAACAGAAGCCAGCCGCTACAACCGCTAGTCGCTAGTCAAGTGCTTTTCAAAATACAAATATGTGATTACGGCGTCCAGTACAAAAATTAAATCTCCATCATCGAAACCGAGCTCCGAGTCCGCGACCAAGAGGAAGAGAGAGAGTGAGTGCGTGAGAGAAACGACAGCTGCTGGCCGTGTGTGTTGGTGCAGGATAACAAATACAAAACATACAACAACAACAAATAGTACACAAAAAGTGCCAAAGTTTTTAACAAATTTGCCAAAAAAAAAAATCAAAAGAAAAGCACCAACCAAAAGCCAGCAAACCATTCAATTTCATAGAATTCAATGCAGAAGACATGTGCATAAATGAAGAGCTACAACCAATTTAATTTGAACGCCGCCGCCCCGCCCGCCATTGCCTACGAGAACGCAGCCGCAGCAGCAGCCCTCAATTCAAATAGTTCGCCCCTCGATCACAATCAGCAGCAACGTCAGGATATGCCGCACTTTGGACTGGGCAGCGGTCCTCAGCCGCCGCCGCCGCCGTCGCAGCAACAGCAGCAAGTGCACCATCAGCAGCAGCAGCAGCAACAACAGCAACAGCAGCAGCAACAACAAATGCAATTGTCCATGTTGCCGGGTCCGTACCGGCCGCACATAGAGGAAAAGAAGCTGACGCGCGATGCCATGGAGAAGTACATGAGGGAGCGCAACGATATGGTCATCGTGATACTCCATGCCAAGGTGCGATATGATTTCGGGATAATTCAGGTTGCTCTCGGGGGGAGTTCAAGGATTAGACTCAGGTTAAACAGGTGCCCGATAGTGGTCTTAAAGTGAATCAGAAATGTTAAGGGCTCCAGAATTATTAATTGCGGTTGGAAATAGTTGTGGAAATGCTCTTAAAGTTAAAGGATTAATAAGATCTTAAAAGCAAAGCCGGAAATTGCTTTAGAAATAAGGGATCTTGATGGCTGTCAAAGGACTGCAAATATAGAAAGTTTTGTAGGATCTAGTGAGAAAAGAGTTAGGGATTTTATATTTCAACAGATGCTAAATGGTCCTTGTCTTCATAGAACCTGCTACCATCTCGAGAAAACCTGGAGATCTTTTATCCGTTTGAAATATATTACCCCTTTCAGCCAACCATTAAACCAGGACCGCATTCATATGATCCTACAAGTATATACATTTTCGAAAATATATACCCATTCTGATGGGTCAATCAGAGCCACCTCCTCCGCGAACACCCCCTAAGGTGTCCGATTCGTTTGTCCACTTTAAAGTGTTACATTTTTGCGGTTTTAGCGAAAAGTTGAGACAAAAAAAATGAGAAAAAAATTGTCGCGGTTGCTTTTTAGTGGTGGCGATCTTCAAGCGGCGGCGGCGACTGCCGCCAAATGGGAATCCTTCACACTCGACTGCATCCAAATTGAGCAACGCGCTCGTGGTTCGCTCTGGTCCGGTCAGAGCCAGGCCGGGCCGGTGCGGTCCGAGCCGCAATGAAAATAATTGAAATTAATTACAGAAAATTAACAAAGCTGCATAGCTTGCGGTTTTGATACGATTTGCCGATAATCCGAGTACCAATTTGTGCTAATTGAATTTCCCTCTGTCGCGTGTTTCCAGGTGGCCCAGAAGTCCTATGGCAATGAGAAGCGCTTCTTCTGCCCTCCGCCCTGCATCTATCTGTTTGGCAGCGGCTGGCGGCGGCGCTACGAGGAGATGCTGCAACAGGGCGAGGGCGAGCAGGGGGCCCAGCTGTGCGCCTTCATTGGCATCGGGAGCAGTGACCAGGATATGCAGCAGCTGGATCTCAACGGCAAGCAATACTGTGCGGCCAAGACCCTGTTCATTTCGGACTCGGATAAGCGCAAACACTTTATGCTGTCGGTGAAGATGTTCTACGGAAATGGCCACGACATCGGTGTGTTCAACTCGAAACGGATCAAGGTGATATCGAAGCCGTCCAAGAAGAAGCAGTCACTGAAGAACGCCGACCTGTGCATAGCCAGCGGCACCAATGTGGCCCTCTTCAATCGCCTGCGCTCACAGACCGTCTCCACGCGGTATCTGCATGTGGAGAACGGACACTTTCATGCCTCGTCGACCCAATGGGGGGCATTCACGATACATCTGCTCGACGACAACGAATCGGAGTCGGAGGAGTTTCAGGTCCGCGATGGCTACATCCATTACGGTGCCACAGTCAAGCTGGTTTGCTCAGTGACGGGCATGGCTCTGCCGCGTCTCATCATACGGAAGGTGGACAAGCAGATGGCTCTGCTGGAGGCCGATGATCCTGTCTCGCAGCTCCACAAATGTGCCTTCTACATGAAGGACACGGATCGCATGTATCTGTGTCTGTCGCAGGAGAAGATTATCCAATTCCAGGCCACACCGTGTCCCAAGGAACCGAACAAGGAGATGATCAATGATGGTGCCTGTTGGACAATCATTTCCACGGACAAGGCGGAGTATCAGTTCTACGAGGGCATGGGTCCTGTGGCGTAAGTCAAAGCTTCTAAGCTCCTTGATTGTTGGATATTATTGGAGTTTTTTTTTTCTTGTAGTTCTCCTGTCACACCTGTGCCCATTGTCAACTCTCTGAATCTGAATGGCGGCGGCGATGTGGCCATGCTGGAGCTGAGCGGCGACAACTTTACGCCCCATCTGCAGGTGTGGTTCGGTGATGTGGAGGCCGAGACCATGTATCGCTGTACGGAGACGCTGCTCTGTGTGGTGCCAGAGATTTCACAGTTTCGCGGCGAATGGCTTTGGGTAGGTGTCTCCCAAGAAACACTCTACCATTTGTATCTCTATCTATATCTATGCGTTTGATAGGTACGCCAGCCCACACAGGTGCCCATTTCGTTGGTGCGCAACGATGGCATTATCTATGCCACGGGCCTGACATTCACCTATACCCCAGAGCCGGGACCGCGGCCACATTGCAACACCCAGGCTGAGGATGTGATGCGTACACGGCACAACAACAATAACAACATCACGAGCATCAGCAACAACAATAATGCTGGATCGCCGGCGGGTGGCAGCTTGCAGCAGCAGCAACAACAACAGCCACAGCAGCATCAGGCGCTGCCCTCCATCTCAGAAGTGCAATGGAATAGTCATGGTAGCGGCTTGTCCTGAGTGCAGGACTTTTGCATCCTACATTTATGCGTGCTAAGTTATTTATAGTTTTCATTAGAGTCCTTAGTTTGTAGATTGGCGATTTTTCTAATCCTAATTTTTCACTTCTCATGACGCGAACAAACAATGCCTCCTCCTTAGACACACCAACCTATCCTAGAATCATCCTATATTTAGTGCTAGTACGGAACCAATAGATGTGTAAATGCGATACATAAAACACTTTGTATATAACTCGAAAGAGCCCACACTGACACGACGACACACATTATATATTTGTATAAAATATATACACTTGTAATTCTAGTTAAATATACAATCTTGTATAAGTATATAGAAGATTTTTTTGGCAGCGGTTGAAATATTTTTGAAAACTTGTATTCTTGTGAATTTCCAAAGAAATGGCTCAAACGGGAAGACCCCAGCTAACAGAAAATACATATAGTAATTCTTAAACAAAAAAAAAAACAAACACATTCCATTACCCCCCAGAAAAACGATTTATTTTCTGTATATATAAATTTGGTGTTGGCCATATCTTTTGGAAATTCTCAACGATCAAAGAACCGCTCTATAATATTTTGTAACATATAAAAGACAAAAAAGGCGATTTGTTTTTAAGCTCAAACAATAATAATAAAAAAAAACACAAGAACGGGAAACCGAAATTATGACAAAAGAAAAAGTAAAGCATGTCGTCAGTTTATATATGATTTAGCATGATTCAACATTATTCTAGTCCACCAATTTTCATTGGATGGTCTGTCTTGAGGGGTTGGGGTGGAAGGAAATTGCTGTGGGAATATGGCCAGATATCGTGTGAATATTTTTAAACAAAACAAGTGCACCTCTTCCCACGATGGCCCCTTCGCTTCCCCCTTCTTACGGTCCCACTTTAATTACAGTTTGGTCTGGAAATGCTGAATGCCAAGTCAAGAAACTTGTGTGCGTCTGTGTATATATAACACTGCGAGTATTGTTTCCGTTTTTTGGCCAACGTTAAGGAGCAGAATTTTCTCACAGCCCAAAAGGCAACGTCTAACGCGACTGTGCCGCTGTGAGAACTTTTACTGCCTTTTGTTGAATATTTATGCATCTGGTGTGGCTGTTGTTGTTGCCTTTTACAGATTTACAAATTAAGATTCGCAGTTTTGAATTAATTATCGCTTACTTCCGCTTGGGATAGACGTTTAGAGAGGCAGTGAAACTAATCTCTCAACTTGGGAGACAAAATTTCTTATCGGAGAGGCTCATGCACAGGCAGAGGCAGCGGCAGAGTCAGCCAAGCAGGTCAACCCCTAAGAGCGCTGCACTTCTTCGATGGGAAAACGAAAGACTCAAACAAGAAACTCGCCTCGTTGCGTGATGTGGATGGTGATGGAAAAACCACCACCAAAATGTCTCAAGTTTTGTAATTGGAACTGCAACTTCTTAAGGTCGCGCGTCGTCTTATAAGAAGCTGAATATGAAATTAGTTTGGAATTTTTAATGAACATTTCCATGGTGCCTCCCCTTCTCCGAGTACAACTATCTGTCTGGTTGGACAGTTGGGTGCCTTGATTGCGGTCGGTCGGTATCCCAGCGAGAAAGGGGGAAGAAAACAATTTCTAAAAGTTCTCAGGACTGCTCTGCTGTAAAAAAAAAAAAATTGTTAATTATCTTGAAGAAATCTAAGTCTTCCCCGTCTCGAGTGGCCCCCGCCAGCCGTTGACTGCTGCCGTTTTTCACACGCTGTGGAAAAATGGAAATTCTCCGCAAAATACAATGCGTGGGAAATCGGTTGCGTGGGAGCCCAGCCAAGAAAATTCAGGGGAAGTTATACATCCAACTACATGCAAGTCCTACTATATAGACCTACAAATATACGAGTACTTGTATATATACTGCTAATTGCTGGGTTGGTCGTTTTTGGTTTTTATATGGGAAATACGATTCCTAGGTCAAGACGGCTTGGACCGATCGATTGGAATTGACATTGAGAAAAAGGGAAGGCGGCATGGATTAGTCTGCGGTGGCTATATGTATTGTGTAATTTAACCGTGCGACTTTTTACATATTTTCGTTTGATTAATATTGATTTTGGTTTAAATTGCGCTTTAGATGTTGCAATATTTAATTGTTGAATCAATATTATAGATAGCCTGATAGAACAATTGAGATTGTACAAATTTACATTGAATAAAGTACATTCTATAGCTTATAGGTTCAAAAATTACAAAGTTATATCTTTTCAACCATTTGCCGATTTATATGAAATAAATTGTTTTGTATAGATTGATTCACTGTTAATATAACAAGGAATTTTGTGGTTTCCAGGACACGTTTTTTAAGGCTATTTATTAATTTTTTCAAAAACATTACAAACGAGGGGGAACGTTGTGAGTTTCAGATTCCGCAATCTGGAAGATATGGTCATTATCTATGATTGTGCTTATATACTCAATACGATAATAGATTTACAAAATTTTTAAAAATATTTATAATTTGTATGGTTTAATTTTTTTTAGTTTTGCATTTTTTACTGTTTTATTTCCGAGGTGTGTTCATAGTTTTTTTTCCAAATTGAGAATTTTTTGCGGTATATTTTTTCAAAATGTTGACTTTGAAAACTACGAATTTTTATAAATTAATTTATTCCTTTAGAGTTTGCATTTTTTGTTATAGGTACGTTAATTAGGCGTCTTTTAAGGTATCGTTTGTAAAAATCTATGGATAAAAGATTAAAGTGCAGCCGTTTGACCATACCTTCAAATGCCGCATTTGTTGCATAGTGTTATTTATTATAATATAATAATGCACTTGGCAGATTCTGCCTGAAATACATCAGATATTTTACTTTAAAGTTAGCTCTCTCCTTTTTATAAACATTTTTCGCTAGGCGAAAGAGCTCCTGAAATACTGGGAAGATATTTTTTCTATCTATCTATTCAGTGAATTTCCACTATACCATCGTTTAACGAAGTCAAAAACGTAATATTTCTAGCTAAACAATTTGTAAAGAGTGTTCTATAGCAATTTTCCTATAAAAATGTAATAATTTCCAACATTTTTCCCTGCAAAACATAGCCGAAAGCTAAACATTACTTATTCAAAACTGAGTTCCAAAATGTAAATCAATTTGTTCGATAATCCATTCCGCTGGAAGAACATACGGATGTTGGCTCCACGCAGCCGGTTGGTGAGATCAACCATTGTGCCACTGTCCGTCATGAGGGGATACTACGTTTGAGCAAGACAGATGCCAAGGACTACTATCAGGATAACATGGTGGAGTATGGTCGGCTCTTGACGGGGTACTAGATGGCGGTGCCATTTCTTTTCGAACCGATTGAAAGCAAGGGCCGACATCGAAACCATCAGAATCAAGAGACAGAACGCATCCTGAGATTTGAAAATACTACGTGGGGGGAACAGCAGTCTATATCGGATTGTATTTTTCTTGTATAGGTATACTAATACAAAATTGTAGTATTTAACAGCAAAATGCGGCATTCAGAGGTTTGGTCCTACGGCTGCACCTTAATGGTTTATCCATAGATTTTTACAAACGATACGTAGCTATACCAGAAAAATACAAACCCCAAGGAATTCCGAGTTTTCAAAGTCAAGAAGACCCACCATTTCATTGTTGACTCCTCAAATTGTTGTAAGATATAAAATCATATTTATTAGACACTTTATACAGGAACTACGCACCCATTTTTCTGGTAGCGCATGCTGTGGACATGAGGCTCCCCACACAACACACTCAACCTATTTTGAAAAATTTTGTCCAAGTGTTTCTTGACCTATTTATTCTTATTTTAGATGTTCCATCAAACTGCCAATCGATTACAAGATTTCATAATTTTAAAGCTTCATCTTAGATCTGTCAAAAGAAAGAAGTTGATAAAGAAACTCTCAAAAATGTAGCCCCTGTTCCATTGCTAGTCCTTCCCACTGTCGTATTATTTGAGCATTCAAATTGAATTAGCAGATACCTGGTAGCATCCGCTTTATTCTTATTGCAAAATCCATCGAAAAATAAACTCTTCTAAATTGTATATAATTTATTAAATAATTGAACATTTCTATGTATTTGATACAAAACGTCATCAGTACAGATATGCAGTTAAGATATACAAAAGAGATAGATGCAAAATGCGCAGATACAAATGCTATAATCTACAGATATGTAAGACCTTTCCTTCATACAAAATATATTATATGTATATTCGTATTTCAATAATTTAAGTAAACTGTGGAATGTGCCATAAAAAATACCTAAAGCAGTTTGTTTTGCCAAATTTATACAAGAAACAAAAACGCGCAAAAACGAAACAAACAAAGAGTCTATAAAACAAAACAAAATAATGAGAAAAATTGGTTTTGGTATAATCGATAGCAAAGCGTGGAATGAATTCTGAGTGGGGGTTGGTGGTGGGGGCGGAGTGAATGCATGGTGGGGGGATTTACTTAGATCTAGAGAGTACTAAGGCGTATGTGTATATGTAAGTTATTGCAAGTTATCATTTATAATTATTATAAATATTTGCTGTGTGTGTTTACTAGTTGGCTCGTATTGTTCGATTCTTGTTCATATTGGTCAGCATCAGCGAAATGTACGAGGTCAACAGATCGTCCATCTTGTAGCCGAGCGATGTTTCGCAGAGCAGCTTGGAGCCCCGCACCAGATTGCCAATGGTCATATGGAAGTACGTATTGCCGGACGACCAGTTCGAGATGCGTGTAAAGGGATGCGTGACCAAGATATCCTAGAAAACAAATCATTTAAAAATTAATATAAACTCTAGGAATATTTGAGGATCTGTAAGCAGAACTCACCTTGGTCACGGGATGTATGAGACTCACGCCGTGCTTGTTGATAGCTATAAGCAACATTTCCGGATAATTCGGTTCGGTGGTTTGTTTCACCTCAAAGAAGGCAGAACCAAACGTTGGCCATCTATTCAGCAAAAGAAATAACGATTATAAATTAAGATTATCATCGGAATTCCTGGTGTAAACCGCACCTGTAGACAATCTTCAAGAAGGCCACCTTGGCATCCTCCGAGGTCATGCCACCATCCTGGTTATACGAGGCCACAATCGAACGCTTCCATTCATTGGTGCTCTGCATTTTCATAATATCCGATGGAATCAGTTCCCTCAGCATTTGTCTATTACAAAAATCAAGTATTAATGGATATTGTGGGATATATGGTTTGTATCTTACGGTATGGCCTGCAGTTCTGTTTTATTTTCACCAAATCGCACGCGGAAGACCAAGGCCGCCAGCTTGGCCGCCTCCTCCCTGGAGCACTTGTGGTAGCCACGCAACAGTTTCGGCAGCTCCTGATGATAGTGGAATATAAGATCCGCATTGCGATCCTTGCCTGGCACTGTGTTCGTCCACAGTTTCTTCATGAAGAACACCTGGTAGGTGAACTGTGGATTGGCACCGTCGCGTATGGGTCGCGCCTTCTTTATCCAGTCGGTCAGATGGCGCACAAAGTCAAAGAAGAAATCACCCTCTGGCACAGAGATCACCTTGTCGGCAATCTTCACAAACAGAGAGAAGCCCTCGCTGGTGCGCAGCGACAGGCGCTGCGAGATGTTGTTGCAGAAATCCTTGGCCCTCGT